AATGAAATCGACTCTTTGCACTCGAGAGAGAGAGAGAGAGAGAGAGAGAGAGAGAGAGAGAGAGAGATCACCACTCGATTCGATACAGTAACATTCTCAAGTGCATTATCAAGTTCATACGGAATATATCAGACTCTGTAGATCGCTGTGCGAAACATTGAAATGAAACGGCTTCTTTTCTCTATTTACGTATCAATTATCATTCGTATGGATTCCATGGGTTGGGGGTGCTCTGGATAATTCGAAGAGAATCAGTTCGACTCGAGATTGAAAAGTCCCTAGAACCTCCGCGAAACGGAACCATGCCACGATGAATTATGTCCGAGCATTAAAGAGTCATCGATAAAACGCGGCGGGGAAACGATGGCGTTAATAATTCATCGCGTTCTTAAACGGGAGTGAATAAACAGCGATATACATACAGTAATTCAGATGCGCGCAATGCCTCGCGGACAAGACATTTTCTTATCTGAATCATCGAGACTGCCGCCACCCTATTTAACCCTTGCGTACCATTTAGATAATTATTGCCCCGACGTGTTTTCATTTACGTCAAGGTTTCGAGATTTTACTAATAAAACCATCCAAAGCGAATGTTCGATTATACTGGATTCTACAATTGATTTATCGAAATATTTCCTGTCTACTCGATTACACACGGAATTAGGAAGATGCCGCGGAATATACGAGATGAACGTCATCAAGTACAATAACTTGAGATAACTTCCCTCTAACAGGACTATTGCTAATAAATATCACAGATTCGTGATATGTTCGTTTCGACAAAAATTCAAAAATTTCAAACAGTTTGAAAAATCGAAGATCGGTACATCTGACAATCGCAATACGATAATCGAATATCGATAATCGAATATCGAATCACTTAGAGAAACATAAATATGTCCGTATCTATAAACTATAACCATTTCGCTACTTAAATTCACGAGGGAACGAAATTACGATCAATCGTTACGATCGAGTCGCTTAATCATTGTTTGTACGCGATGGGCAACACGAGCGACGCTAATGGAGTTTTGGACGCGTAACGTGTACGCACTTTGTTTAAAGTCCGCCAGAAACGGTCCGAAATAATATGTAATTAGAAGAGGATGATTACTCACATTTCTGTAGTCTAATATTACCGAGAGGATCGTCCAGCTGTAGAGGTCGGAAACCCATATGTTCGACGCACACACCCGCGGTTTCGACAAAAACCAACACCCTTATCATTAAGTCCACTCTGGGAGAGAGCGTCGTCTTCTCTCAGTTCGCACTTCATCCCGCGACGCAAGGTTACACCGCGTAAACCTCGCGCGCTCGCTTCTCTTTGCAAATTCTATGCTATTACGCGTAAGACGCGTTCAATTATTTCCCTCGCGCACTTTTACCGCGCGAAACCGGCTTGCTTCGGCTTTTTCGTCGAAAAAAATGCTAATCGCGAGGAGCCGGCCTGAAACCGGGTCGGCGGCTGGCAATTCTTTCCGAGGCTAACCTAACGAAACGTCACATCCGGTTTCCCTCCCTTTCGAGACGGACGCGGAATTCGCGGCCGGAAACACGTGAGGGCGGCTCGTTATCGCGCGATACGCAGCAAAGTGCATTGCATTTCCAACGCAACGGAAAACCCTAACCTCCTCCTCCTTCTTCGCGCACGTCCTTCTCACTCCCTCTGTCCTCTGTCCTCTGTCCTCCGTCCTCGTTGCATCACTTTTACCGCGGTCCTCGAGCTGCTACGTGCACACACGTGTGCGCGAAAACCTTACGCAATATTTCCCTTCTTTCGAAAGGGAATGCCGCGGGCACCTCAAAACCCGGTTCACATACGATTTTTCAATATTTTCCCGATCAAAATATTCCAATAATTCACATTGCCACTAACATCCCCATGTTTCGTTTATCCCGTGGCTCGAATGACACTCGAGTCCTTGATAGGTTAACAGCATCCGGTTGAATCGGCTTTTCGATTCTCGGATGCGAAACGCGTCCTTCCTCCCACGGAACGTAAGGAAACAGCGAGACAGAGGAAGAAGGAGATCGGAATGGCCACGCTGTGGGTCTCCCGTGACACCGCGCGAGAAAACGCCGGTAAAGAGATACACAAGGATTCTCGGTGCTCGGTTCTACTTACCATGCAGGAGAACTTCGGCTCGGCGTTACGCACGCGCACGTACACAATCTAAGAAGATGTTTACACCAACGAGAACAGGGAAAAGTGATCGGAAGAAAGCAATCCGTGGGTAGCGTTGCGCCGTTGATCCTGTGTCGCGGGAGAGATTCCTCTGTGAACACACGGCACGCAGGTTTCTCTGTCTCTCTGTCTCTCTGCCTCTCTCTGCCTCTCTCTTTCTCTCTTTCTCTCTTTCTCTCTTTCTCTCTCTCTTTCTTTCTCCCTCGTTTCCTTCGGACCGGTCACCCTCGCAGGTACAAGAACGGACGGACGGGACAGCCCCGGCGAATAGAAAAAACCTCACACGCGTGGTCCTGCGGCGGTCGTTGAGTGGGA